TCATGTGTCGGTCATGTCTCGCCTTTCCTAATGGTCGCTCAGTGCAGTTTGTTATTGTATGAGGATCAGTTTGTTTTTTTTACCGCACTCAATCGTTACTGTGTGTTATCCGACATTTTCGCTTATCAGACGTTCTGCCGGCCCGTTTATGTCGGATAAGTGAGACTCTACTGTAGTTCAGTCCCAAGCCATTCTCATGTCCTACCTATAATTTTTTATACACTGTCAAATTATATATCCAAGAATACTGTACTTAGAACCCCATTTCAGTGAGGTTAATATCAGAATATTCTGGAGACTGAATAGCTTGTTAGTTTTGCTATTTATATCAACATCTGTACTGATTAAACAAAGATAAATTTTTAAAGGGTGTTTGGATGAAACTGTTTATCTTTTAAAAGAGAAAGAATACTAAAATTTCCCTCAACAAGAGAGCCTTGCTTTATTACTGTAAACGAATGCTGATCCTACTATCATATAAGAGCATTCTAAAAAGAGTTTAATAATCTAAGGAAAGGCAGAGAATATCAAAATAATTATCAGTCTTTTCAATTGTGCCTGACTGTAACAGTGTAACAGAATAAAAATAATTTTTGTTATGTCAGGAAGGTTATTTTTGGAATATTAAAAAAGCTGAAAAAGATAACTTGGATTATGGATGGTTAGCTAAAGACACATTCTCACCAATATTGGAAGCATACCTATCTATTAGAGAATACATCTTAAACCCTTAGGATCTTAGCAGATTTCATTATCAAAAACATGTTGCAAAGATTTTTAAAATCTTTGCAACAATAACCAATTATTTTGATAGAGAGGAGAAACAACAGCAGACTATGTTGCTGTTGCTTCATTTCTACACAGGTGTAAATGAACTAGCAGATCCAATACCACACTAGACCTAAAACAGCCAAGATAAATCATTTTGAAGGTTTATTAATGTTCCTCCTCTTCTTGCAGCCTGTATTCATATATAATCCAAGTTGTGCCATATTGGCCTAGCTTCTGACTATCCTGGCCACACCAAAAAAAACAAAGGAGAAGAGAAATGAAACTCTTTTGTCAGTGAACAAGATAACATATCTAGCTGAGCAATCCAACCTTCCTTTCTGCTCACAAAGGAGAAGCTTATTTATAAAGTTTCTTGTATTGGTGTAGCTTAAAACAGTCCTAATTTCTTTCCTTACAATGCTGATTTCAAAAAACTGTAACAACACTAAATAATAGCAAGAATTGTAGGTTTATTTGCAACATGGTACATGGTCCATCCTGACAGCATCTGAGCAATGTTCCTCCTTCAGGACCCATTTATTTCTACACTATTAATGTATACCCTAATGCAAAGGGAGCAGTCCTGAAAAAGCCTCTGTAAAAGAACTAGCAGTCCCGTACCAAAGTTTTCCCATGAGCTGAACGAAACAATTTGACTGCACAGTTGGGGACAAATTTTACTGATTTAATATAACAGAGAACACTTTAGTTAAGCCACTGTAACCATATTGGGATAACAATGATTTTCACCACAATTTATCTTTGTAATTTATATCCAGCCTTTTCTCTAAGGAAAAAAGCAGAGTCACTCAATGGGTTTAAATGCAGACTACAGAACCTTGGTCTTTCTGGTTCCAGCCCAACACTCTAATCACAATGTCAGCAACTAAAATATCAATTTGTCACAAATAATCATTAGTCCAGCTCATTTAATTAGAAGTATCCTTGAAAACACAATTAAATTCCCATAAATTGGAACTAATTGTTTACCAGCCTTCATATTTCAGAAAAAATAAAACTATTCCAGAAAATTTCAAATATGATTCAGGATCAGCTACAGAATTTTAAATATTATATCTCCAGGCCATCTTAAAATGGATCAGAGAAGTCTTACTCCATTGCTCTAAGTACTAGTTTTAAATGGCAAACCCGCACTAAACAAAAGTAGATAGTTTCAACATGTTTATTTCAGCAATAGGAGGGCTCCTGAGTGGTGCTGTACTTATAATATGCCAATTAGAGGAAGGAAGGAAGAAAGGAGCAATTAAGCACCATTTCCTTACTGTTGCAGGAAATCAGAGAAGTTTGGTAGCATTCTTTAGACTAAAATTTTTATTAAAACACATAAGCTTTCATGAATTGTAGCTCACTTCATCAGATGCATGGAATGGTTAACTGATGTAAGATTTAAATTGGGATGGGGCAAGGGGGAGGAAAAAGGGTGGGTACATATGAGAATGATTGCAAATATCTCAAGAATTAGCTATTGTAATGTGTTAAAAATCACTGTGCTCGTTGAGACCTTCTGAAATAGCCTAAAGGGTGTCTCTTAAATCTTTGAAGCAGATGAAGAGGAAGAATGCAGGCAAATGCAAGGACAGAAGGAACAGGCAAACATGGCACCTTTGTCTTATTCAGCCCACAGAAAAACTTAGCTGTATCAATAACCTCCTGCTGATGGAAAGAGCAACATATTAAGCAAAAGTTTTAAACAAATCCAATCTAGGGCAAGTTAACACATTTATTATTCAACAAATAATTGCAGCATCCATGTTCTCCATATATTGTACAGCCTTTTCGCTGTACAAACTGTACAGCCTTTTCGCTGTAAAAACCACGGCTAGAGAACACTTATTTATAGAAACTACACATGTATATCTTTCTTTCTCTATACTGTATGCTCTCACATTAGAGAGTTTTGTGATTTTTATTGGTCTGGGCCTCAAGCTAGAGGCCTCAACATTGCTTCCTCTTACAGAGGGGGCTTATATAGCTTTAGATATTATATTAGCTAGTGAGAAATAGGAGGCACTACCCAACTGGTTTTGTCCTTATTGGGACTCTTCAGATGTAGGCATCCTCCATACTAAATGTTAAAGAGTTAAACACAGAACATCTAGTATGGAGGATACTTATTCCTGAAGAATGCCAGTAAAGACAAACCTGGCCATGTAGTGCCTCCTACTGATCAGTAGCTAATATAATAACTAATGCTTATAAGGTCATATAGTACCAACTAAACACGATACTTTTCCCTGGGGGCAAATCATAACTAATCAGTGAAGACAAATGAACTAGTCCTCTAGTGAGGCAGATACATCCAAAACTGCAATCTTGCATAGATGCTGGGGACTTTTTTACTGCCTGTTTCTAAAAACTTATTAAAAACCAATACAATTATGTGGATACTAAATTCAAATTAGTATCCATTAGTAGCATCCATTAGTAGCACAACAAAAAAAGGAGAAGCAGCAAACAGAGCTGTCATTAGCATCTATTTTTATCAGTTTATGATAAAAAAAACAAGGCAGTCCTAAAAAGTGTGTCAGAAGAACAGTTGAGAAAGAAGACTGTAAAGGATTAGTCAAAACTTGAACATGAAGCTGACTGCATTTCCTCTCACACCCCTTCTGCGCCCGCCTACAGTAAAAACAACCGGGGGGTTCTGTTTCCCGGACTTGATTGCACAACGGAGCCCATCGAGGCGCGTGTCCTCGTCTACGTGGACGCGCCCAGGGCAGGCGTTCAGGTCTGGGGCGCCCGCCTGGGCGTCGTTTGCCGAGTCAGAGCTCTCCTTCCGAGCCGTACAAGGCAAATGGGAGGGGGAGGAAACTGGGCCAACAGCTTCGCCTCCGAAGCCCACAAAATGGAGACTCCACGGCTCCAAATCGTGACACTTCCCTTCCACGCTCCCCGCGAAGCAGGGCCTCACCCGCCTCCTGGCCTCGCTTTCTTTCCCCCACAAGACACCACCTGCTTGCCTTTGGACCGCCGCCTCCACCTCCGCCGCTCGCCGCGTTCACGGGCTCCTCCAGCCGCTCGCCGAGCCGACAATGGCGGCCGCTCACTACCGAGGAGGAAGCCACCGCAGCGTCGCCTGCCAATCACCGCGGTGCCAACGGACCCGAGTCCCTTCAGCTCTCGCGAGAACAGCGACCACCCTGCCCGGAGCTTACCTCAGGTTACGGCTCTCGGGTTCTCCCAAGACGTCGTGGGGCCAGCAGCTCACCCGGAGGCTGCCGGGAAAGCGGAAGCAGCGACAGTTTCGTTGCTGCTTCGGGCTGATTTCGCGCTCGTCTTCCGTGGCTTCCGACGAGCATCATACGTCACTAGCGGCATTACGTCTTGTGTGGTGGATGGGAGCCTCCGGGCTCTCAGAGAGGGAGAGGAATAAGTGCCGGGGGAGGAGGGAAAGCAATCCCTTTGCAAAATCTAGGGATCATATCCACGCACACTCACGCCAGATCGAGACAAGAAACCGTATTGCACCGAAGAAGCTGCAATCCGAGGAGAAATTACAAAAGGTTCATGGGCCAGCTAGCTTTGTTCATTTTGTTTATTCTGTGCCACGATCCAAGTGTTGATGTGCAATCCAGAAAGCATGCTGCTGGTGTAAATTGGCTGCCCTGATGGCCCAGCCGTATTCTTTCTCATTAAGGAGGCTAACTAGTGGGTGCTACTGTGTCAGTTTTACGGCGAGAAACTTTAATGAAAGTGGATTCCCTTGGCATCGTTTCTCCTCTCGTGAAGTATCACCTGCCACTGGGAAAAACAATCATCAATTGCTTTTCTTCATTTGCGGTAGGGTGAAGCAAGGTGAGCATAGTTGGGGATTTGGAATGGCAGGTATAGCTGCCTATCAAATTGTCTGCCTAACAGGTTGCAGGCATGAAGGTACCCTGTGCTTGTGACTAAGTCAGTTGAACTATTTTTGAAATGGGTCAAGTACTCTTTCAAACGAATGCCAAACCAGTGTCCAAAACAGCCTGGATGACAGGTTGCAGGTATGGAAGAGAAGCAGGGAATAAAGCAGGAGGAAGCTCTCCTGGTAAGCCAAACATGAACCCTGAACTAGCCACACAATCCCTAAAAAATACATGTTTGAAGAAAGGGGGCATCAGTAGGGTGCAACAAGGTGCTTCAAAGCACTTGTGGCGCCTTGATTCAAATGCGCATTTTCCTGGAATTACAGTTAACATGCGATGCTGACAGATGTGAAGCACATGCCACACCTGCTCCAAAGCACCTTTCCAGCTTTAAATCTGAAGTGTTGCATACCCCTTGATAAAGCTATTAAGCCTGGCAGGCAGATACATATATATATGTGTGTGTGTGTATGTATGTATGTTATTACATACACACAATGCTACAGATACCGGGAGATTTTATTTATATAATTTTATTTATATACTTTTTTTATATACTTTTTTTATATAATTTTATTTATATACACACACACACACACAATATCTCCAGGTATCTGTAGCATTGCATTAAGCTGGAGATATAAACAGGATTACTTATGCCTTTGCCCTGATCCAGCAAGAATCTTCTGGGGTTCTCATTTTCTGTTCAAGAACAGGAAACGCTTCCCAACTATGGGTGCTCTAACATCTGTTTTTGAAATTCCTCAAACCTTAATAGTAGTTCCTCAGTAAGATCAATCATGGGGAATAAGGTTATCTATACATGGAGTTTGGCCATAGCTAACTTCTATAAATAAAAAAAAAGTCACATTTTCCTTTCTCCTGAATTGGACTGTTGAAATGAAGACAGCTACGAGAAAAGCAATAATGGATGCTACTCTTGAAAGTTTCTGAGCTTATTATAGTACTGAAAGTGTATTTGTGGCCTACACATGTGCACAGGAGTATCTGTTACTTAATTCTAAATCTATGTTCACTCCCTCAGGCTTCTATTTTGCACCTGCCTTTAGCTGGTGTATCTTCATACCTTTTAACCTCAGCAAACAATCTAGTATGGAAGGTTGACAGTCAAAGGTCCTGGAACTTCACTTCCCCTTCTGTTAAGTGGAAAGGCCTCCCATTCTAACAACTCACAGACAGGTCCAATTGCCAATTTGCTTCCAGGTCCAATTCAAAGTGTTGGTTATCACTTTTAAAGCCCTACATGGCTTGGGGCCAGGTTATTTGAAGGACCACCTTTTCCCAGTTACATCTACCGAACCCACCAGATCGAGGAGGCAGGGTATGTTACGGGTTTCCCCCTGTTAAGGAGGTTCATCTGGTGAGACCAAGAAAAAAGGCCTCTGTGATGGATCCCTCCCTATGGAGCATCATACCCCCAGAGTTAAGACTGGCCCCCACCTTGATACTCTTCTGAAAGGCCCTGAAGACATGGTTTTGCCAGCGGGCCTGGGGATTCCAGGCTGATGCAGAGCCCATCAAATGCTTAGTCTGAATGTGTTGTTGCAGGGGGATGGGGAGTGTAGTGGGTTCTATATTAGGGTCAGATTTCTGTAAGCTGCCCGGAGTCACTGTGAGTTGGGCACCCATATAAATTTATAATAATAATAATAACAACAACTCCAGAAACTCATCAAAGATGAGACTTCCCTCTCTTCTTGTCCTCTAGTGTGATGTAGAGAGTAAAGAGGATGACCTTGACAGAGGTATTCAAGATCCTTTACTAAAGCAACTAGACAGAAACATGGCTTAAGCCCAAGTCATGCAGCAGGTATGCGAAGATGTCTCAGATGTGCACAATTCACAGGAATATAAGAGGGAGAGGAGGTAAAGCAGAATCAGACTTGCAAGATTCTCTTACTATAGCCAATCTTGATACAAGTAGTTTTAGTCTTAATGTGGAGTTGATTTATTGGTCTGATCTACATTCTGGGACTGACATCTGATCACCAAGATGAAATCAGAAGTTTTTACTACTGCTTTTAAATTAATCACAATATACACTGTTGCTTGAAGCCCAAGGAAACTTGTTTCTTTAAACAAAATTGTGTGATAATTTATGGTTGTAACTTGTTCACTAATTATAATTATATTGATTTGGATCCAAACAGCTATTCTGAAAGAAGTTGCTTAAGTTCTCTGATCCTTTGACTGCCAAGTTCCCTGATCCCACTCCTATGCAAATGATCCCTTGAGGGCTGAGGTGAAATGGGCTATGATGTGGACTAAGATAAAAGAAGGAAGTCACAGGACCATGTATGGAATCACATTCAGCTTTATTCATGGAAATACTTCTGTCTCAATCAATCAATCAATCAATCAATCAATCAATCAATCAGTTTATTACA